CGACAACTCCCTTTCTACCTAATCAAAATGATGAATTCAAGGTAAAACCCACTCCTTTCCTCTCCATTTTATCGTTCAAGGACATTTTTCTTTTGGGATAATGATAGGAAGGGTTATCCTAAGCACATTTTCGTGAAAGGGCTGATAGAAATTTATTCAAACTGTCGTACTGACAAAGGGTAAACATTGGAAAGCAAAACATTGTGAAGCCTGTGACTTCCTGATTAAACGCTGTTGTTAAGCCTCTGGTTTTAATCTTTAGGTCAATATGAGCATGGTTGGTGAGATATATAAGATTCGTGTGAAACAAGATGAAATTGATCTGTCAAATAATCTTGCAAAGTGGAAGCCACAAAAGGTACATTTCTTCTGTGTTTGCTGGTTTACTGATACTGGGGATTAGTACAATATACCTTTGTAATTACAGGCTTCTATAATTTGTGTTATTATTCATATTGGGTAAAGTAAAATGCCACACCAAAGAATGTGACGTAGACTTTACTTGGTATGTGTGCAGGATATCATGTCAAAGTTAGCATACGATGGACAGTTTAGTGAAACACATGTACACAGAAGAATCAAATATTCTCTGCTAAAAATAGCAATCTTTTACACTCAGTCTTCTTAATGGCATTTCCCTTTCTACAGATTTAGTATAAAAGAGCCCTATTTTTATCACTCAGCAAATGTTAGACCCCAAAGCCTATCAGTGTCATTCAGACTAATGTCAATAATCCCTATTGTTCTGTTTGACAAAATGCAAAGCCCACAAGTGTTTGAATTAAGGCTGAGTTAAAATGATATTCCTTGAACCTGCTTTGCAAAGACTGTGATGTGCTGGGGGCCAGGTTCAAAAGTTGGCAGGAGAAACTTTGTGCTCAATGTTTTGCATGAAATTGGTTTTGTTTACCCTTAATCAACTTCAAACTGGGAAATCAATCCCAGTCCAACGTGGGGCTTGAACACACAATTGGTAAGTGTGCTACCAACTGAGCCAGACTGCAAACTATGTCTCAATACTTAGTTTTATTTGCATTATGTATGATATATTATCGAAAAGCATGCAGCTCATAATAGGTAAATGTGTAAGATATTTAATTTGCATTGTTATACTTGAGCAATCAATATTTTACCTGCAAATAATTCTGGGACATTGTAAAATCCCTTAACAGTTAACAATGCAACATATAAAAAGTGGATTGATTTTGAAGTTTCATGTAGACAACGATGAAGACAATGCAGAAAATGTGTTCGAATTTTCTGCATTAGGAAAATCTACCGGGCAGCCACTGTTTTCAGGTATGGAAACTCCACTCTGAAAAGAGTGTTATCTAATCGTGGTTAGTTAGTTACACCAATGAGATTTACTACCTGAGTTTTGCATCAAGCTCATCACAGCAACATTGTGGGTTTAACCTGGTCATCTGCCAGAACTCAAGCCAATTGCCCACAGACGTGTGAAGCTTGAGCTGTTCCTAAAGTCATCTTAAACATTGTGTTACAACATGAAAAGACACAAAGTTCAGTTTTTTTTAATATAAATGGTATAAGATAGAATGGGACAGGAAAAGATTACTTGACCCTTAACTCCATTCTTTCCATAGACCATGTAAAAATTTGCACTGACAAATTAGATTGTAAGATTAGAGAAATATTCTGGATGTTTGGTCAATTTGACTTTGAAGGAGCAGAGGGGAACTTTCTCTCAAGGGATGTTTGTTTTCAGGAGAATGAAAAAACTGACATTAACAAAGACAAGCTTGGTTCTTCTTAACACTACATCATTATAATTGTTTTTACCTCTTTGTTTTGTGTTTGACAGTTCAGAAATATAAAGTAAGTATTTATACTAAGCAGGTGAAACATAAGGAGTTTAATACCCCTGTTTACCTCCGTATCTATGGGGAACGAGGAGACACTGGTGATCATAATCTCTGTGTGCAGAAAGACCCTTCCATTTTCCATTCAGGAGAGGTAAGATGTTGCAAACAATAATTACTGTGTATTGTTTGTATTCTGTAGCAACATATTGTTTTACAAACATTTTTATTTGAGATTATATTTTGAGACTATAACCAGCACAGTCAAAAATGTAAGAAAAAAATAGTTATGCAAGACTGAAATGCTAAACTTTCAAAGGTGACATTTAATTGGATCTCCCTTGTCACTTAAAATTGGTTCTGCTAAAGTTCATCATAGATGTCATATCATACCTGCATATTCTCTTTCAGTTGAAACCAGTTACATAAAGGATGCTTAGAAAATGTCAACAATGACTTTATTTGAGTCATTATAAATACTAATATAGTCCTATGTTATAATTGTGAATGTGTAAAATGGTAATTTTTCAATTCCCATTGTAGGTGTTTATTTGTAATTTCACATTTCTATGAAGGATGAAGCATTGAGAAGAAATATTTCTGTCCCTATCTGATTACTTGGAGCCCACTTCATTATAATATAAAATTTAAAGTAGTATAGGTATGGAACCTATTGCTAATGTGCACAACACAGCATTGCTCTTCACTAATGTGAAATGTAATGGTGCACATTTAAAGCAAAAGATAATTTAATATTATTCAAGTTGGCATGAAACAGGGATGTTTCTATGACCTTCTGATGATTTTGTGTCTGGTTTGTACCTTTATCAGTGATCAGGCTTCTTTCAATGTAACTTTATTCCAGGTCGCAATTTTTTATTTAGAAGCCGTGTCTTTGGGTCCACTACATAAAGTGCTGCTGACCTGCAATACCAACAATGTGTCTCAGCGTTGGTACTGTGAAAAAGTGGTTATTAAGGAACTCAGTGAAAATGGCTCAGGATATGTCTTCATTTGTGAAAGGTGACTATAACATTGCAATCTGAAATTGAAAAAATGTACCAATGTGTTGGAAGTTCATACTTGGTTTGTTTTATATTGAAATAATAGTAATCCTTATATTTGGTACAGAGCCTTTCACATCAGGAGGACATCAGGTGAAATGCCATTAAGCTCTCGTCTAAAAATAAATGACCATGTTATGAAATATGCTGTGGTTTTTATCGAAATCAAAGACTTGTCGGGAATGCATTTTGTTTCAATAAATAGGGAGGTAACTGATATTTATGTGAAATTCATATCGACCTTACTTGGTATGTTAATAATCAGCTGGTATTTAAAAGAGAGCAAGAGAGACTGAATTTGCAAAAACAAATAAGGTGAGTGCACATGATACTATATTTATGATTTTCATTGAGAAACTAAGGTCAAATGTATAGAGCTGTAATGCAGGGTATCACCAAGGTTGAAAACAATTGGAAAAGGCAAGATAAAATATGTATAACATGTTATAAATATTGCAGTTCAGGAATTAACCTCAGAGTTTCAGAAGTAAATAAAAGTTATAATAATGTTATAAATACCTGCAAGAACATTATTGATCATATTGTAACATATATCTTCAAAATGAAACAAATCAATTTAAATGATCTAATAAACGACCACCAAAATGGGTTCAGAAGGGATAGATCTTGTCTGACTGGCATTGTAGACAATACATCCTTACTCCTCAGGAGAAATGTCCAAAAATAGTGTTCAAGGTAGTCCTCACACTGTGGTAGGTTTTGCTTGTTGGTGTGTCAATATGCATCATTTTATTGCAGCGAAAATTGTGTGCACCATGGTAAACTAATAACTAGAAAGAGAAGTACTGCATATAATTTTTGACACCTTAATATGGAAAGGGTATTTTTTGGGGGAGAATGCATTGTATTTTCACAAGAATAATGCTAGTCTGGTTAGTTTGGGGATGTTATCGCTGGAGTGAAAGAAGTTAAGGGCTGATTTGATCGAAGTGTTTAGAATTAGAAAATGGTTAAAGAAAATAAGCAGCAAGTGACTCCTTCCCATTGTTTTTCAAGCACCGGTGAGAGGATAATTTTAGAATTAGGACAAAATTACGATAGGACCTAGGCGAGAACATAAAAACATAAGAATTTGTTAGGCAAAGAAGACCAATGTCCAGCCATTTCACCTTCCACCATTCTGGCAGTCACTTGACATGCCATGTCCCAAACTGTACACTGAATCCTGAGATATTATTTTCTAGCAGAAATCTATCTAATTTGTTCTTGAAGGAAATAACACATTCTGCTTCCACAGTCTCCCTAGGGAGCCTGTTCCACATGTTTACTACTCGCTCACAGAAGTGGTATTTCCACAGATTTGTTCTTAATTTACCCCCATTCAATCACAGGGCATATCTTATGGTTTTACAATTCACTACAAGATAAAACAGTTTATCATGGTCTACATTATCTAGTCTCTTCAGAATCTTAAAGATTGTAAACATGTCACCTCTTAACCTTCTCTTCTTCAGGTGAACAAGCCCAGTTTATCTAATCGCTCCTCGTAATCCAGTCCCTCCATTCCCTCAATCATATTGGTTGCCGTCCTCTGTATCCTCTCGTTCGCTGCAATATGCTTTCTATATTGCAGTGACCAGAACTGCACACAGTGTTCCAAGTGTGGTCACATCCCCAAGTGATTTATAAAGTGTCAGGATTCCCCCACTATTTTGGATCAATATTGCTCTTTTAATACAACGCAACATTTGGTTTGCCTTACTCATTGCTACCGAGCACTGTTGCAGGGAAGAACATCTTCTCACAGAGAATACTAAGAATCTAGCCTGCCCTGAATCTGGAAACTATAAATGAGAAATGAGTTGAGGAAATAAAAAGGGAGATGATTGAGCAGTAAAAAAATATTTAGGGAAGATAGGGAGGTGGGATTAGGGGACATTATAGTATATGAGGTTTGGGATATGCTGTGGTGTAGCAGGCTCCAGTTGCTTCCTGTTCCTAATTTTCCCAGGGCTCGCTCTGCATCTTTATCCTTCTTGACCTCTCTGCTGCCTTCGACACTGTCAATTGTATTGTAGTGTATTGTAGTGCCGTCATATTTCAAGATAACATATTGGCTCATGTTTATTTCAGGTGGATTCCAGATATCATATCTGGCGTTGTTCAACCACAGGTGGAAATCCTGTTTCAAAGTAAAAATCACTGTAAGTAACTCGAAAAGTTTATCCCTTAAATTATTCAACACCAAATAACACAGATTCATCTAACCCATGCTGTTAATACATTTGACTACAGAAAAGTTTGAAGATAACATCATGATAAAAATAATAGCAAGAAGATAATAATGTCCTCCCCCACATAAAAAAGATGTTTTTGGAGTGACATCTTTCTCGAATGCCTTCACACATAAACACGTGACAAACCCAAACTAATCTAATTTGACATCAAATTGTACAATGGATTAGTATAATGTTCTGTTACATTGGGGCCCTGGGTTTTAATCCATTTTTCATGTACTATTTTGACAGTCTTACTGTGCATTTGTGTTGGTGGAAAAAATATCTCACTGCTTCAGTAGTGGATATTTATCAGGTTTTGGCTAATGATGGAGATTCACTCTTCAGATGGCTGTTGTATAACCAAGTTTGGTGCTTAAATTGGAACGCATTCCATTTCTCAACATGATGCCTTTTTGATGCCCTTTATTGAACATTAAATAATTACCAAAAGAGGAAAAAGACATAATTGAAAACATTGTAAAATGCATGGTGCATAATTATATCATTATACTTGATGGCAATGACAATAACTTGTTTATATTAAAATCACAATTCATTGTTCTGAATTACCGATAAGCAGTGCTTAAGGTCATCTTTACCCTTCCTACACTCCTTGCCCTCACAACCCCAGTCAATGCCAAGTCAAGATTGTTAAGTGCCTTTCGATGTCCTTCCAATGTGAGAGGTGCTATGTAAATTTGTATTATATTAAGAAAATTATCAATTGTCACAGTCAAGAAACCCCTATTTAAATAGCAGTAGCATTTATTTAAATGGTTCTAAACTTGTCAATGTGACAAAACCACAACCATAATGTTTGATGTTTTCATCCAAACCATAACAATTTTATCCATCTTTGCACACTGTAAATAGTCTAGAAGATAACTGAGGCCTGAATATCTTAAATATCAATTTCAAAATTTTAAGAATTATGGAATTCTTAAATTTGGTCTTAATTTGGAGGCATATTCTTTTTAAAGACCTGTGCTTAATCAGCTTCTAAATCAAGATGGAATTTAAGAATTTTTACAATTCTGTGTGTAAAACTTTAAGACACAAGCTAAAACTTGATGGAATTTTGAACTAATTTTTGTTGTGTGGTTATTAAAGCAGTTCTTCATTATTTACACATGTTCTGTCCCTGCATTCATCTTGATAAATATTCTTGTAGTGTCAGGTATTCAGCAAAATGAAGAGCTTATTGCAGACAAAGTGGAGTCAGATATAGGTATGTATATGTATTTATACGTTGCTTAAGGAAATAATAAAATATAGGTTGGTGATGGCCAGCCCTAAAACGTTGTGTCATTGTCAATGGCTACTCAAGGAGTTTTTTCCCCAGTCTACTTCAACAGGGGAAAGTAACCTTCATGGGGCCTGAAAATCCACCTCATTATCCTGCAAGACTATTTTGTAAGACTATTTTGACTTAAAATGCAAATCATTGCAAAATTGTAGAAAATTATTGAATTGATTGTTAGTTCAAAAATTGGTTTTCCACAATCCTTAAAAAGGGCTGTTTTTTAATTAAAGTCTGAATTAAAGAATTTTTCATGAAGTGAAATATTGCAAAACAAAACTGATACGTTTGCAATTGAAAAGAATGAGGAATTCGCAGAAATCGGAAGGTACCAAAGCTCTTAAATCTTATAAGATTAAGAAATGTTATAAGGAAAAATAGTGCTCTCCTCCAAATTATTTAGGAACAGGGAAAAGAGCAGGGGATCTGGAGCAGGCCCTTACATAACTCCATTAGTCACTGCTCTAGCCTTTTTTTAAAGAAAAAAAATGTTCTTTATTGCTTTGGTCAACTGGGTTTCTGACACATGAAGAAATCCATCAACATGCTTAAGAATATCCAACCCAGTTCGAGAGTTTCACATAAGTATACCACCTAGCAAGGTAAATTTCTATCTTTGGATTGGAATGAGTACTCTATCCAGGTAGAAATGTATCCTTTTGCCTAATCCCTGAGAATATTCCCGGGGGCTGTTGCAGTTTAACCAGCTAACACCACATAGCATTGTTGAGAGCACTGTATAGCAAGCTTCCCACTGCTTGTCCAGCAAGGACCATTCTACCCATCAAGGCTTTGACTTACAGCGTTAAAGGGAGCCGAGTGGGAAGAAATTCTGGCCCCAGTCTGGTTCTACAAATTCTGACAAATGAGCCCAGTTAGGTAGTCTGTCCACAACAGTGCCTTGGAATACTGTCTTAAAAAAAAATTATTATACAAAGTAAGGTAACTTATCACATCAACTTGATAAATATTTTTATATTTTCAGACATTCCAGAAGGGTCCTTGATTGAGATTAAAGGTATATGCACGTTATATATATATGTATTTCATTATTAACGTACAATTTTCTGTTATTCTGTCTGTGGGGACCACACTTTGTGACACCAAGTTGAGGAACTGTGGAACTAGGAGAGGCAGTACACGTGTCACAGAGAGAGCGTAATAGGGTACGCAAGCAGGCTGATAATTGGCTCGCTTGAACAACAACAACAACAAAATTACATTTGTATAGCGCCTTTCACGTCGGGAGGACATCCCAAGGCGCTGGACAGACAGCGTTACGGACCCTAGCTAGGGGATTGGGGTCGGGGAGGGTGGAGGGCAGGGGGGGAAGCAGGGAGATCGAAAGCACGGTCAAAGATGAGGGTCTTGAGGTGGGTCTTGAAGGTGGCGAGGGAAGGGGATGAGGCAGAGGGACTGCGGGATGGAGTTCCAGAGGGTGGGGGCAGAGTGGCGGAAGGCCCACCCGCACAATAATGGGGCGAGCGAGGTTGGGGACGTAAAGCAGGCCGGAGCCCACTGAGCGGAGGGAGCAAGCAGGATGGTAGGATGTTAGGAGGCTGCAGAGGTAGGGCGGAGCAAGACCGTGGAGGGCTTTGAAGGTGAGGACCAGGATCTTGAACTGTATCCTCTATGTAATGGGAAGCCAATGGAGTTGGGCAAGGATGGGGGTAATAGGGTCGGGGAGCCTAGTGTGGGAGAGGACATGGGCTGCAGAGTTCTGGATGATCTGCAGCCTGTGGAGGGAGGAGTTGGGGAGGCCGATAAGCAATGAGTTTGCATAGTCAAGCTTCGATGCAATGAAAAACTCTGCCGCCTGCATTCTCATCCGCACCAAACCCTGATCCCCGATCACCCCAGTCCTTGCCAGACTGCTCTGGCTGCCTATCCCAGAAAGGATCGATTTCAAGATCCTCACCCTTGTATTCAAGTCCCTGCACTCCTCTGCACCCGCCTACCTCTCTGACCTCCTCTCTCTTCAAAACAGTATCCGTTGCCTTCGTTCCTCCGGGTCTGGCGTCCTCCTCATCCCCCAAGTCCTCCACTCCACTCTCGGCAGACGTGCTTTCAGTGACTATGCCCTGAGGCTCTGGAACTCCCTTCCTCACTCCCTTCGCCTCGCTCCCTCCCTTCCTATTTTCAGGTCTCTGCTGAAAACCTTTCTTTTCAACCGGGTCTTTGGTCACCTTCCTCCCCCTCCCACTAGCTCAGCCCCGGGATCCATTACTGTAAAGCGCTCTGAGACGCCGTCTGGCATGGAGGACACTATATAAATCCAAGTTGTTGCTGTTGTTGTTGAAAGCATGTATGAGGGTTTCGGCGGCCTGCGGTATGAGACAGTGGCGAAGCCGGGTGAAGTTGCAGAGGTGGGGGAAGGCAGATTGGGTCATGGCGCAGATGTGGGGTAGAAAGGATAGTTGAGGGTCAAACAAGATGCCAAGGTTCCGGACTGGCTTAGTGAGGTGGAGTGAGCATCCATGGATGGTGTTGCTGTCAGCGCCTGATGTGAGGAGACGCTGATGGGAGCCAGTCAGGAGAACCCTGAACTTGTTAATGTTCAACTGCAGAAAGTTAGCTCTCAGCCAGGACTTGATGTCCGACAGACATTCTGTCAGGACAGCAGTGGTCCTGGAGTCAAGGGTGGAGACAGAGAGGTAGATTTGAGTGTCATGTGAAAGTTGACCCCAAGTCTGCGGATGATGTCACCAAGAGGGAGCATATAGATAATGAAGAGGAGGGGATCAAGGACAGAGCCCTGAGGAACGCTGCAAGAGACGGTGTGGGGGCTGGAGGAGAAGCCATTTGTGGAGTTGGTGTGAGAGGTACGATCTGAACCAGTCAAGGACAGAACTGTGAAGGTTGAGGTAAGAGGAGAGGCGGTGGATGAGGATAGAGTGGTCAACGGTGTCGAAAGCAACAGAGAGGTCAAGGAAGACAAAGAGGCAGAGGGAGCCCTGGTCGCAGATGGACAAAATGTCATTTGTCACTTTGACCAGAGCTGTTTCTGTGCTGTGGGCACCACGGAAACCCGATTGGAGGGGCTCGAGAAGGGAGTGGCAGGAGAGGAAGGAGCAAAGCTGAGAAGCAACAACTTGTTCCAGGTTGGAGATGGGGCGGTAGTTAGGGAGTAGAGAAGTGTCCAGGGAGGGTTTTTAAGGATAGGAGTGATGACGGCGCTTTTTAATGGAGTGGGAACAGTACCAGAGGAGAGGGAGAGGTTTATGATGTCAGTGAATGGAAGGGCAACGAGGTGAAGCTGGGAGGTAAGGAGGGCATAAGGATTGGGTCGAGGGAGCAGGTAGTCAGTTTCATACCGTTATGGTAGTGATGAGAGAGGAGGGGGAGACAGGTTCAAAGGTGTGGAGGGAGGAGTGGGTAGGGGCCGGGGTGGGAGGAGGAAATGGGGAGATGCAGATGCAGTGGCAGAGGCAGCTGAGCGGATTCCCTCGACTTTGGATTAGGAAGTCCAGCATCGCCTCGCAGTTGGCATTTGAGGTGAGGATGGGTGAGACGTGAGAGGGTGGGTGGAGGAGTCAGTTTGTGATGGAGAAAAGGAGTCTGGGGTTGTCCTTAGCCTCCAAGATTGTCTTGGAGTAGAACAACGATTTAGCGGAGGCGAGGGCGGAGCAGATGAACCGTTAGGTTTAATTGAAATACATAAATGCAAGGTGCTACATATAGGAAGTAAGAATAGGAAACACAAGTACACCACAGATGGGATAGAACTTGCCAAGGGCGAAGCTGAAAAAGACCTAGGAATGTTGGTTGACTCGTGGCTCTCCATGTTAAATCAGTGTAAGTCAGCAATGAATAAAGCAACCAGGATGCTGGACTACATTGCCAAATCAGTTGAGTTCACATCCACGGATCTCTTAATTATGCTGTATGTACACAGTTTTCCGGGCAGCCTGACTCTCGGGTATTGCATACAAGGCTGGTCATCTCGACATAAGGAGCCTGTCCATGCCCGAGAAACAACGCAGAGGAGCACAACAACAGTGATTTTCAGTGTGAGAGGAGTGAGCTGCAAGCAACAGTTAGACAAGTTTGAGCTCTTCGATCTTTAGAGACGATGTGTCGAGGGACTTTATAGAGGTGTGTAACGTTTTAAACAAGATTGAAAAATAAATCCAGAACAGTACTTTCAGACCCACGAAGGTTTTCAACTTCAAGGGAGAATTTCAAGACACATGGCAGGAAGCATTACTTAACAAGCAGGGATCCGGAACAGATGCTTGTGTAACTCGACTTGTACCTGCCTTCCCAGGCTATTTATATTTCAAAATAAAGCAACTATATTTCTACTACATAAATTTCAAGATGAATATCTATTCTTGTTTTTTCAGATGGCGAGCAAGAAGAAGAGAAAAAAANTATAGATAAAGGTATAATTTCATTGTTAAAGTGGAATTTGTCTGCTACCCAGTTATCCAACAGAATAAAGTGAACCACTAACCAGAATTCCAGCACCGATTCTCTGACTTCACTCTTCAGATTGGTGTCAGGAGAGGGGAGGTGGGTCTAACACTGGCCCATTGATATGACAACTATTACAACTAACGACAACTGTTCGTTTCACTATGCCATTACAAATCTGATCTCTTTAGTAATCCACTTGGATTTCTTAATGAAATGCTGTACGATTGACCTCCATTAACATCTGCAAGATTTACAGTACTGATTTGTTTTGGCTTTGATTTACCATGACTATCAGGGTGTAGATATAAGCTTCAACACACAATCAACTAATCTTTCATCAGGCAAAATAAATGGTGTCTGAGTAATGAACTAAACTGAAAAAAAGTTATCCTACATTTTATAATAATAACAAAAAGCTTTCGATTTGATATAACCTCTAACACCTCAAAATCCTTTACAGTAGTTACTGTTGAATATAGTGACTGCATATAAGTAGAGTAGTTGATTTACGCCTAGCAGTGTCACTCTATTCAACATTAAGAGATGAGGTACAAACTTCCATCAGTAATTTGAAGCAATGCCAAAGACAATAATTATTTCCATGTCAACCACATTTGTTGAAAGACTGTAATATTAGCTTCTTCTGAATATATAATTACAATATGTACTTTTTCTCCTTTTACGATGCAGATGAAATATGGGAAGTGACAGTTACCACTGGAGCCTCTGCTGATGCAGGCACTGATGCTGCTGTCATACTCTATGCGTATGGGGATAAAGGAACATCGGGTCCAATTATTTTAGGATCAGGAAAGGAGAATCTATTCAAACCGAGTAATATGGATGCATTTAAGGTATACAAGGAAGACAAAACAGTGGCTTAGAAATGTCAGAAATTCGTAGCAATAGAAATGTTTCAAAATAATATAATAATAATCCTTGCATTTGATATAGCCCCTTTCACATCATTGAGATGTCTCAAAGTGCTTCATAGAATATATTGTGAAGTAAACTGACTGTGTATCTTGTGGGAAAATCGCAGCAAACAATTGCACTCAGAAGTGTCCCACAAACAGTCATGGATTGAGTGACCAAATTAAAAAAATTTTAAAAAAAATTTGAGGGATTATTACCCACGGAAAGCAATCTGCCAATCGACTAACAACCCAGGTTTCTACTTACTGATAGGTAGAAAGAGTAAATATAGTACAGCACCGACTCATCTATTTCATGTTGTATCTCATATTTGTATTATATATATGTTTCACTTTCTGTCTGTGTGTCTCTGAAACTATAATATTACTCCAAGTCTAATTTTAATTGGGCTCATTTAAAAGTGGTTGATTTGCTTATCTGTACTTTGAGGTTGTGTTATCTACCTGAATGCAGATTGTTGATGCTTTTATTGGTGAAGTCAGCAATGCAAGCCTGTGTGCTCGCTCTTATAGACATTGTTTTGACCGACACCTGCAAGCTTATGCATTCAGATGCCATTTAAACTCATCAGTGTAATGTGCCGGTATTAACAGCTGTTTAAATATTTATGCAGGTAGTTAACTAAATAATATTTATACAGTATATGATATAGTATCCACTGCT